CTATGAGGTGTTTACATCAGTCAATTTAATAAGAAGTCAGAATTCCATGATACTGTAAATGTACCATGCACTGGGCATGTATGTGTACTACGGTATAAACTTTGAGTAAATTGTCAGGCTAGCAGTTATGCATGACTCAATTCCTGGAGTAAACCCCCCGGCACCCCCCCGGGAATTTGCCCGATAGACAGTTCACAGGTGTCGGGAATTTGCCTTTCATATATGTGCACGGGGGCCGGGTATTGGAGGACCCCGGGGATTTGACAAATGGTTGCCCAGAATCCCACCCACAAATTTTAAGGCAGCAAAACATAGTTTCAGGCAAGCATGTGGGCGCGCTGATCGTATTTTGCGCCCTCGTGGCCAAGGTGGCGTGAAATTTATTGTAAGAATAAGCGAAAATTATACCCTGTGCCATGCAAATTTAAATACAACTATTAAAGGTTTATGTTTTATAATATTCCGTAGCAGTTTAATACTATAATGTTATTAAATGACTATAATTATATGCCATTAAAAGTTTAATTAACGTTTACAGTCGATTTCACGAAACTTTGACCACAAATATTCCGAACTTCGTTGCGAAGTTCACAAGATTGTTGCGAAGTTCAAAAGTTCATAATGAGATTCACAAACCAGTTCGTAAACTGCGCATTTGATTGGCTTCTTTTACTTCACGGATCAATCAGGGACTTTGTTTACAAATTGGCTTGTGAATTCCAATATGAGCTTCCGAACTTCGCAACGAACTTGCGAACTTTGCAACGAAGTTCGGAACATTTGTGGTCAAAGTTTCGTGAAATCGACGGTAAAACCGTCCCCGGGGTGGGTCATTTTCCACTCTCAGCTTGCCCAGGGGCCGTGCATTAGTCTTCAAGTTGTGTCCCGGCACCTGGGCATTTACACTATCATAACCAATCAAATCAAATGCCCGGGTGTGTTCCGGGGGGGGGATGGTTACTCCTGGTATTGACTCATGCATTAGAGAAATGTTCCTTGTTATTATTGCTATTTGTAATAAACTAATTGTGTTCTTTGCCACAGGAACCAATTTTTGATAACTAAATTATATTTTGATATTTACTGTCAGTTGTATTTTCTATGTAGATGCATAATTTGTGAATTATAATATTTGACGTTATCTGGATATTACTGTTCAGTTTTGTCCAATGTCGCCCAGTTTCGCCCAGCGACGCACACTACTTTTCTTTGAAAATTGCCAATGTCGCCTAATGTCGCACAATGTTGCACATAATAACGGCGACCTTGGCCCCCAAAGTAGGCCTTAATTCCGCTCGGCTATTTACACCCGGGTGTTTGAGAACATAGCGAAGTGCTTCCATTATTGTCAACCGCCATTGTCAACCGTGAAACAAAGTGTAAAAGGCATAAACACGAATTTTGTCCAAGACGAACCAGATGTTTTAAATAAATTTAATCGTTGTCTAATTGGCTATGTTTGGTACTTGGGTAAATGTTATAAACACTTCAGTATTAAAATTCCATTCCGCACTTGCTTTGTGTTTTTGTCTATGAAGCAAATATATTTTACCGTATTTTCGAGCAAACTAGTACTACTGTGGACAAAAGGAGTTTATTACCAATCCGGCTCAGTTTCCCCTGCAGTTTCATGGCAAAGTTTCGAAACGTTTTACCGTTCTATTTTTATTAATTACATTAATTTAAATTTTAGTGCATAACAAAACTACATTCCAGATTATGAAAATCAATCATTCTTTAGCTAAAAAATTATCTCCTATTATTTTCTCATATTATTTTCACGTTACCATACTTCATGTGGAATTTCTATACTTCACCTGTTAAGAAAGGCTAGGGGTTGCTGCATGCATGTATTTCTAGTAATTTCCCTACGACTAATGGTAGGAAGTTTCTATTTAATTGACTAGAATTACATTACTGGCTTTGCTATTCACCTTCCAAAGATGGCGCATATTGTTTGTTATGTGTGCTGTTTGGACATCGTTTTCCTGGTAAAGCTAGTAAACAATACTCTGAACCTCGTCGCCATTGGAACGACGCTGCATCTACTTTTAGACGTCATGCAGTGCATGGTACGGGAGGGGAGATGGGCCTGAATGCTGGTACTTTTCGTATACTTCAGCCTATAGAGGTTATTTTGAATGCAAACATCAAAAAGAAAATTGAGGACAACAGAAACAAACTTGCCCCCATTGTAGATACTGTTATTTTTTGTGGTCGTTTAGGTTGCCATTGCGTGGTGATCGTAATGGTGCTAAATACCAGCTAGAGGTTGACAACTATACTCCATTCGGGGAAGTTGGTAATTTTGTTGAGTCGCTTAATTTTGGAGTTCGAGCGGGCGACAAAGTCTTAGAAGACCATTTAACAAATTGTGGTAAAAATAGTAGTTATATCTCTAAGACTAGCCAAAACAAAATTATTGAGTGTTGTGGTAAGGTAATCAGTGAGCAAATCATTCAAGATATTAAGGTTGGGAAGTATTTTTCACTCATTGCAGATGAGGCTGCAGATTCTTCTCATATAAAGAACAAAATTAACGTCTCTTATCTTACGCCTTGTAGATATTAATGTGAATATTCGAGAAGGATTTATTGCATTTCTTCAGTGCAAGTGGGAATTAATTAGTGGTGAACAACTGACCAAATTAACCCTTGAAACTCTCAACAATCTCACTTTATCCATTGATGATTGTCGAGGGCAAGGTTATGATGGGGCAGGTGCTGTTGATGGGCACATTAATAATGGTTTCTCTGCTAATATTTTAGACCTTAATGAGGAAATTTTTTATACTCATTGTTATAGCCATAGACTTAATCTAGCTGTTTGTGACTTTTTGAATATACTGGAAGTCGATCAATACTATGACGAAACATGTTCAAGATATTTCAAATTTTATTAATATTTCCCTGACACGCAGAATCGACCGCCAAAAACGTTTTGGAGTTTATATTTTAATCCACACTAATAGTATCATCATTCATATAATGAGTGTTCATTCTCATGAGCCTGAAGATCTATTATCTTTTGCTGTACATGCATGGCATGATAGACATTGATAAGTAGATTATTATGACATACGGTACAGTGTATAACTAAACAAGAGAGCACGAAATATTATGTGGTACACTTGCTATATCTTTCCAACATTTTTATTTGCGTGTAATGCGGACCGAGAATAAGATTCACATGACTTCAGTATACATTGAGCTCGCCGGTCTACTTTTAAGAACCCTTGCCTTAATTTAGCAGAGGTTCACTCCTCGACTCCATATGCAAAGTGTGATGCTTAATGGTGAGCGATACAGGGATTTTAGAATCAATACCATATACGGAGTATTTTTTCATCGATATTTTCGATACGATACCGAAATCGATACTGACAATACAAATTCTGTTTAATATTTGGTTGTATACTTCGAAGCACAAAGTACCCTATCTTATTATCTTCGACTATTCCTGACTTCTGGAAGGTGGTTATTCCTTAGATGCTCAGAAAAAAGTAATTCTTACATACTGAATGTATGTCAAAACTATACATCAGATTATAAAGTATTGATACTGTACAGAAAACTGTGATGGTGCTATCTGGATAAAAGATTACATAGCAATTTGTCGATTTGAATTTCAAATTTTGCCTTAATATTTCTAAGATGTGGCGTATAATTAGGGGCCATGCAAAATTTATTTTATACGAGACCGGAGCAAAAGTGGACGATGCACATACTTTTTTGGAGCTGCATAGAAGCAGGGCACAAAGATTGTTTTCTACCTTGCAAGGTGTGGCACACATTTTTTCGTGTTCCTCCCAATTATTAAACTCATTAAGCAGCAATACACCCAAATGCACCCTGTTTTGTATTTTATTTAGATATCTTACGCCAGACAGTTTTACTCGATCGTCTGAAACAATCTGATAATTGTGCTCTAATACCTAGCCAATAAAATTATCATGCACTGTCCACACAGATGCAAGAAGGTGACCACTTTTATTGGGAACCCTTGACAATAGACCTCGATATAGTATAATTAAAAATGGCTACGAAATGAAATATTCGTTTTTATTATATTACTAGTAGAGAGTGAGATACTGAAAAATACACAGTGATATATTTTCCGTATCTTCACTAGTGAAGATATCAATCATGTGACTTTTTTATTATTTGCTTTTAATTTGAGCCTGAAATTTCACAATTTTTTGCTTGGGACTATATAATAAACAGAACATTACATGGTGGCTTGAAGATATGACTTTTATCTTCTCGTGTTAAAAACAATATATTTTTACTCACTCCCTGAGTCCCTGTTCGTAAAATATTGTTTTCACCAATCGAAGATAAAAGTCATATCTTCGCGCCGCTGTGTAATATCCTCTATCTCTCTCTCTCTCTCTCTCTCTCTCTCTCTCTCTCTCTCTCTCTCTCTCTCTCTCTCTCTCTCTCTCTCTCTCTCTCTCTCTCTCTCTCTCTCTCTCTCTCTCTCTCTCTCTCTATATATATATATATATATATATATATATATATATATATATATATATATATATATATATATATATATATACGTAAAATATCCCCTATTTTAGGGAGCGGTTTATTCTCTTTAGGAGAATTTCAGATCCACAGGGGTCGCAGTGGCAGATCTCCCGCACATTTTAGCGATTTCCTCTAGCTGAACATGGTAAGCAACTCTAAGGTAAGCACAGCTGCACAAGCTTTCTTTACTGACAGTAGTGCGAAGCAGCAACTTTTTTAACAGTTGTTAAAGCACATCAGGTGATATCGATATCCTTGTAGGATCGGACTATTATTGGGAGTTTGTCACAAGTGAAATCGTTCGAGGGGAAGACGGACCAACCGCTGTCGCGAGTAAGCTAAGATGGTTATTATCTTGGACCGCTGGAGAATTTGGAGGAGACCCCCAACTTGTCGGTTTCTGATCTAATCATCTCTGGAAATTGCAATTCAACTGAAAGATCAACACAAGATGACGGTCTTGTCGAAGCATTAAGGCAGTTTTGGGATGTAGAGATGGTTGGCGTGAATGACGAGAATCCACCATACAATCAAATGATAGATGACATTCAATTTGACTAAGATCGTTATTTTGTTGGCCTTCCCTGGAGACAAGACTATAATCCCGAATGTACCAACTACGAGCTGAGTCATGCACTACAAGTTCAGATATCAACTGGATATCGTAAACGAGGGGTAGAAAAATTTAAAGGAGGGGTAGAAAAATTTCTGGTGGGGTGCAAGCGGCACCACTGAGCGAGCTTCGACAGGGGTTAGGCGTTAAGGTTAAAGACTTTCACACAAAATAGGAGGGATGAAGCAAAATTTTGGTGGGGTTGAACACTTTATAAGAGGGGTCAGAGAGATTTTTTTGGGGGGGGGTTTAACCCCCCCTAACCCCCCCAGTAAATCCGCCCATGAGCACAATAAATACGATGGAACAAGAGTCCGGAATTATAGAAGAAGTGCCCAGCGAAGACACCAAGGTGCAAGATCCAAACGAAGTCCACTACATACCTCACCACGCGGTCTTCAGGGAAGACAAGGACACATTGAAGCTTCTTATCGTTTATGACTGTTCTGCCCAGTCATTATCGCAGGAGCGCTTGTTAAAACGACTGCGTGGTAAAAAGGCCCAAACTTCATTCCGAAATTGTTCGAAGTGTTCATAAAATTTAGGAACAATCCGATTGGCCTCGTTGCAGATATTGAGAAAGCTTTTCTCATGGTTGGAATACGGAAGGAAGATCGCGATCAGTTACGGTTCGTGTGGTTTAAGGATCCCGAGAGTACAAATCCGGGTGTGGTACAAATGCGCTTTTGTCGCCTCGTTTTGGGTTTAAGTGTTCACCATCAATATTAGGAGGAACAATCCTGCACCATTTAAAATCTTATGAGGAACGCTTTTCTGACATCGTAGAGATAATTAAGGAATCCTTGTATGTGGACGACTAGTGTCTGGATCAATGAACAATGAGAAAGCATTCAACATTTATGAGAAATCCAAGAAGATATTTTCGGATGGCGGTTTTAACCTAACGAAAGTGAAGTACGAATTCGAGGTTTCTGATGCAGAATATTCATAGAGCAGAACGTGTCGTCGAAGATGTAGAGCAACCACGACAGGAGGGGGACTCCCAACCGATAACAATCGGGGAAACATATGCCAAATATCAAGTTGGTCCATACAGCCACAAGGATGAAGACAATACGGTAAAACTACTCAGAATTAATTGGAGCACTACGCGTGACGAGTTCTTCTACAACCTATCCGAACTGATTCTGTATGCCAAGACCCTGCCAGTCACGAGGCGATCCCTTCTGAAATTAACCGCAAAGATATTCGACCCACTCGGTTTACATAGTCCATGTCACGATGAAGATGAAAATGATGTTTAAAATCCTATGTAAGGATGGAGTCGACTGGGACAAACAGCTTCATGGAGGTATGAAAAGACAACACCAAGGCTTCCTGATGGACCTACAGAATGTTAACCGACTACGAATTCCCAGGTGCTACATCATGACGAACAGTATGCCGAGATATATTCAATTGCATGCCTTCTGCGATGCCTCGGGAAAGGCAATGCGTACAGCCATTTACCATGGAACGGTCTACGAAAATGGTATCGTACAAGTTCGTTTAGTGGCTTCAAAGACCAAGGTAGCGCCAATTAACAAACAAAGCATACCTCGACAAGAATTGCTTGGAGCAGTTATATTGGCCCGAATTGTTGGAACAGTTGTGAAAGCTATACCCCGAGAAGTTGAAATATTTTACTGGACAGATTCAATGACTGTATTGTATTGTATTGAATCTTAAATCTTAAGCAGTGGAATCAATACGTGCAACATCGTGTACAAGAGATACGCAGCCTGACCATGCAGGGGAGGTTGAATTGAGAGGTAACGACAATGAAGACGAAAGGCCAGGAAGAAAGACAGCTGAAAGGCGAGGGCTACAACGAAGGAAGAATATGTAAGGACTTATTGATTACCCTGTGGTTAATATATCCGGGGAGTGTAAGAAACTGTACCAAAATATTATTGGTTAATTAATATCACCAAATCTAATAGTTAAAAAATCTATATTTATTTGGTCAAAAAATGCCCATATTTCATGATTGTTTTAACCTATTAAATTTTATACTTGTTTTAATCTTTTGAAATAACCTCTTATCGATTTAAAACAACTCATTGATGATGGTTTGTTTTAACCTATTTAATTTTAGTTGTTTTAAGCTATACGAAACTGTACTGTTTAATGACATTATATTAATTTTATTTTCATTGTCCAATGGAACTGAAATGGGTGACATAGGGCGAAGATTTCCGGTTTTGATATTGTTATTGTTGCTGTTGTTGGTGCATGCAGGTCATTTTTTTACGCTTTCCGAAAGTATCGCAACATCCCGCGTGCATG